TTGATCACATGGTTAATGAACACAGGATTTAACCAGCTCATGCCAAGCTGCATTTGATTTATATTATTTCTACAGTTTTTCACACTTACCCCCTCAGTTACTTGATGCCTTTGTTTTAACATTACTTTCTGAAATGCTTCCTATATACATATGAAAATCCCAATATTGAACTACTGTATTTATGGTTTGGTAACATTCGGCCTCATCTATTTTAGAAACTCTCTGATATAGTAGTACCAAGGATGCATGTAACGAATGTTGTTGTTTCAAAAGAACCACCACCAGAGTAAATGCATTTTTGCCATCATACTTCTTTTCTCTTGCCAGCCAATTCAAGCTGCAATTGCAATTTTTTAAAGGAAATTGCTATGCTGGATATATTGGGGAAAACATACAACATTCTTAATATTCCTGAGAGTCTCTAAAGCCTGTAGACTGATTTTGCATAGCTGCCTAGGCAGAGAGACATGCTTCAAACTGTTCACAATAAGTGCAGTCAAAACAAGATGTTTAAAGATTGAGGTTAGGCTATAATAATATTGTATTTTAGTGATAATTTTAGCTAGCATCCTAGTCCAACAAAACATTAGTTAACAGAATTTTTATGCTAAATATCCAAATTGTTTGGGTATATTAAGATGATGTGTTAAAATGACAAGTTTGTGAAATTTGACTTCTCAGAAGCTGTGTTAACTTAATTCTTTGCATTCATTAAATAAGGGGGAGCTCCAAACTGTTCTGTCAGTGTGATGACTTGAGCAAGATAGTGTAGATAGTGTACCATTTTAGACAGTTGTTACAAGGTATTAAAGTTGCATTGTTGCTTTAATAAATTTATGAAAATGGGAATATTTCATTTTAAATTATGAACAGTTTTGTGGAGAAAACTGTCTTCTCCATTTGGTATTATTCTAAACAATGATAACTTGCCATTTTAAAGTAATACAAACTGATGATTGTACCTTCACATGTCAAGAAGCGCTGGAGATGCCTACAGAGGCATATGTCTACATAGGAATGTTTGAAGTGCATATACTAATAACACTAATTTTTCCTTTCATTGTGATGCTTAAGTATTGCTTGTAACATCAGTGTTATAAACTCACAAACAATGAAACCTAGAGCTTTTTATTTCATATTTGTGCTGGGTTATCACTTGTTTAGAATACAATATCATTTTCTAAGTTTCTTAAACATTTTATTATACAATGTCCACTGGTGCTTTTGGCTAGGATTCTGACCTGCATGAAGTAGATTCAAGCTGCACCAACCAACAACAGGGAAAAATGTGTTTAACAACTAGTAGGCTTTTCTTCAGAGAAGGAGTTAAGGGTTATTGTTCTCCAGAAAAGAAGCAATTATACTAGAAGTGCACTGTGCAAGTTACAACCAAATTGCATTGAAGTTTCAGTTAAAGCCCATGAGCTTCTTTTCATAGAAGAGTGAGAAATGGGGAGTTAGTAATAATCTCAAGACAGACAGCCACATGATTACTAAGCACCTTGTTTTCTTTCCAGATTAAAACAAACGGAGCATACAGCACTAAACTTGAAACACAGTTAAACAGTGACCCTTTTGAAGACTTGTCGTTTAAGCTGCTTGTGTCAAAGATGCAGACATCTGTCCGAAAATCGCCTGTTCCAACTTTGAACCAGAAGGAGTTGCTACAGTTGCCTTCAGCAACACAAAGAAATGATGATATTTTGAATACTTTAAATTGCATGCCAGTGATGCCTCCTATTCCAACCTTTAACACATCACAGGAACATAAGCGCAGCTCTCCAAATCCATTTATTACTGGACTGAACTGCACAAATCCATTCACTGAAAGAACTCCTAATGCTGGAAACCCATTTAGAACAGATACACGAGAGTCTGAAATAACTTCACATTTACTAGAAGGAAGTGCCACTTGCGATCCTTTCCCTTCTCTAAATCCTCTCAGTTGTAATACAGGCAAGCCTGTATTTTCTGTGGATGCATCTGAAAACACTTTTTGCTTGCCAGGTAAATCTGTCATGGTAAAAAATGTACAGCCAAAAGGATGGGTAACATTTGATGATGATGATGATAATTTCAACGTAAAGCTAAAGTCATCTAAAAGTGTTCCAGATATTAAGCAAATCAGCTCCAGGAAATCAGATGGATCTCCAGATTTGCTGGGCACTGAACAAAATACTTTTCTTGGTTCAGACTTTAACTTTGATAATGACTGGAATAGAAGTTTGACTGATTGCTTCTATACAATGCCAGCAAGAAGACCACCTGCACCTCCCATACCATCAAGAGTAACCAGCAACAGATCCCCTGCAGATCCTTTCACGTCCTTGGCACCTAAGGTGTCACCAACACAGGATTTTACAGAAAGATAGATGTTCAAATATATAAGAGGTTATATTTGTTGCTACATTTATCCAGTAGGATAATTGGGCATTTGAGATTATTCTGTGTGCAATAATTATGTCAAATGCACTGAAATGTAACTCTGCTCGTAAACAGCCACTCTTGTTTGTGTATAAATTTTGAATATGTATATATGGTAGAGCACAAAAAATTGTCTGAAATGTATCAAAATCCCAATGTAATAGTGTTTGAATAGACAGAGAAAAGAGGGATGAGCTACTAATCTCATTAAAATATAGCAATCTTGAAAATGGTTTTTGCTTAGGGAGCCCTCCCATTTGTGTTCCTCTTTGTGGAATTTCTAGGAAAGAGGCTCTTTGCTGGTAGCCTCCCCATTCCCTTTTTACTGTTTTGTTAACTGATATTTATAAATTGATATTTACCAAAGAGCTGCCAAAGTTTATTGAGATTTGAATGTTGACAAGTATTGTTTAGAAGTTGTTTAATTTATAACAGAGGCTGTGGATATTTGTAAGGCATATATTTGAATGTGAGGCACAACAAAAATAGTTTAATTTCAAACAAAACTTTGCTTATTAATATATTCAATATTTTAATTTTCTGTGTCAGTATATTTCAACTATTAAATCTTAACTGTGACATATACTCACTAGTGTTACTTCAGAATAACTGTTCCATATCATCCACTTATTTTAAAGATGCTTCCCTTCCCCCTGCCAGATTGGAAACAACTGATACAAGTTTTCCCTCAACCTCTGGGAAGAAAATTCCCCTTGGGTTTTGAGAAACAAAGCAGTCTTTATCAGTTGTAGACAACATGTTGGAGTTGGCTTGTCTCACTCTGCTCTTCTGCACATCAGAAGGGTCCTATAGAAAGCCCTGAACAAAGGAATTAGCAGCCATGTTGTAACAGCAGAGGAGATGGTCACTTGTGTGATGGGGTTCTCCACTCAGCATCCTCCCCATCCACAAGACTGACTGCTGTATTTGTAAAATTGTACTTTCAAAGAAAACAAGGAGAACAGTAGTTCTCTGAACAATATCATTCCATCACTGCTGCAGTTAAAACTGAATGAGTGACTTCCTCACTCAGTGACAGGGACCATTGTCTGTGGTGCTGCTTTGAGGCTAGTGAAGGCTTAGTCACCATTCTACATGCTGTGCTATAAAAACATAACTCTTTGTGCTTTCATGATTTTCTAAAGCTCAAAAGAGATTACATAAAATATGGCATGTTGTTATCCTGAGGCAATTTAAAATAACCAATTTCCTTAGCTCCATTTATGTGTGCTATAAAAACCCTGCAGTTCTCCTTGCAGTTCATAGTGTCTTAGGACATTTACTTAGGACTATTACACAGCTGCCTACTTTTATACAAAGCTGAGCATGTCATGCTGTTGTCATCTCTTGGGGGACTGCAGATGTATCCCTACACGCCGTGGCTTAATTGTGAACAAACTACTGGTTCTGCAAAACCAGGAACTGAAACCCAACACACTAGCGTTATATTTACAGTAGCAAAACGCACAGTGTAAGTACTTTTTAAAAATGCTGTCAAAAGGTTATTTATAAAATAATCCACTCTTCCTTTGAACAGTGTCTGGTTGGCCATGAGCTGCAGTTGGATAAAGGACAGTGAGTTTTCTATTGCGCTTTGTATCTGTTCAGGCCATTAAACAGCACTTGTACATTTTACACAGCAGTGGTATTATACTCCTTGTGTGCTTCAGTGCGTGAATTCCCTTGTTTTAAACTGTTGCTATAAACATCTGTGTCATTGATGCTTTGGTATATTCTTACATTATTTCAAAACAATTTTGGGGGAAACTTTTGCTAGTGGGAGTTAACGTGATAAGTATGTTCTCCGTTGAGTATTTGATTACAGTGATTACAAACTACTGGCTAAACTGTACCTGGTATGCAGCACCTCTACACTTTACCGGATTATGGAGACTGACAGCAACGTACTGCAAACATCACCAGAAATCTCCAGAAATATAGTGTGTGTGTATATATATATAGCTAACCACTGTAACGTGTATTAACGACAATAATTACTAGCAGGAGTTTTGAAGATAATGAGAATTAAAATTAGAGACGCTCCATACGTTTCCATGGGTCTGTGTTCCCTGGGGTGAATCACTGCGCAGTGTAACGGCTTGTGGCACACAGCAACCGCAGCTGGCCCCTATCCCGGAGCTGTTGCCCTGCAGCACAGCACCGACCCCATATACCTGCCCCTGTGGGATTAGCTTCCACTTTGTCTGCGCTGGAGGCGCTCCTCGACCGCGGCTCCCAGTTGGCGCTGGGACCGTGGCGCGGGCCCTTTAAGCTACTCCCATGACGGCAGCGGAAGGGCCGGAAGCGGAAGAGCCGACGGGTAGGGGTGGGGCACGGTGGGCGTTACGGTTGCGCGGGGCTCCGGTGGGCGATCGGGCGGGTGCGTAGAGGGAGGGAGGGAGGAAAGAAGGGAGAGAGAGAGAAAGAATGAAAGAAAGAAAGGGAGGGGAAAGAGGGAGAAAAGGACGGCAAGAAGGGAGGCGGCTGGGGAGCGTGCTTTCCCACCGCGCTGCCAGCCCGCCGCTGGTACCCAGGGACGCGGAGCCGTTGCTGTGGCGGGCGTGGCTGCGACAGCCTCTAACGGCCCCCTCTTCCTCTCCCTTTGCAGGCGTAGAGCGGCTTCAGTTCCGCCATGGTGCGGCTGCATGTGAAGCGCGGCGACGAGAGCCAGTTCCTGCTTCATGTGTCCGGTAGCGCCCGCCTCGCCGACCTGGCGCCGCTCGTCGCCCGCATCTACAATGGCAGGTTGAAGGTGCAGCGGCTCTGCTCAGGTACCGGCACGCAGGCCCCCGCCCACCCGCAGCCGATCTCCTCTCTTTCCCGACCCCCACCCCTCACACGCAGAGGTGGGGTCGGTGCCCTCGGCTCGGGCGCTGCTCGGTCTCCGGGTGTTGGTGCCCCGATGGCTCCGGGACAGGGCGCTGAGGGGCCACTTTGCGTGCGGCCTCGCAGAAGTTAAGTGCTTTGCGAAGTTAAGAAATGCCTATGAAATCACAGTTTAGTGGCAGATAAGCTATCCTCCCCTGAATTTATGAGAATGCAAACAACCCACCAGAAACGCTAAGCCGTGTGTAAATTGCCACCTTCTGCCTTCGTGGTTTAGACCTAGCCAGCAGCTAGGTACCATGGGGCTGCTCACTCCCTTCCCTTTCACACTTCCCAGGCGGGATGGGAAGGAGAATCAAAAGAATGTAAATCCCATGGGTTGAGATAAGAACGGTCCAGTAACTAAGGTACAGTGTAATAATAATAATGATAAAGGAAGCGAATATAAAACTACAAAGGGAAAGGGGAAAAAAAAATCAATAAACTCAAGTGATGCACAGTACAGTTGCTCACCACCTGCCAACCGATACCTGGCCCAACCCAAGCAGCAATCTGACCCTTCCGGGTAACTCCCCCCAGTTTATATACTGGGCATGATGCACTGTGGTATGGAATACCCCTTTGGCTAGTTTGGGTCAGGTGTCCTGTCTGCTTCCCCCTCATTTCCTGTGCCTCTCCTCACTGGTAGAGCATGAGAGACTGAACAGTCCTCATGAACTGAGCATTACGTAGCAACAGCTAAAACCTCAGTGTGTTATCAGCACTGTTCTCAGACTAAATCCAAAACACAGCACTGCACCAGCTACTAGGAAGAAAATTAATGTTATCCCAGCTGAAACCAGGACACCTACTTTAGTAGTCCTCATGGACAAACCTGTAGGTAGCCCACTCACATATTTTCTCAACTGAAAATAAATTAATTACTGTATAACAATAAAATGTTTTTCCCATTTTGAAAAAATTTGCTTTCCCAAAAGTACTTAGAAAAAGCTGTCAGCTAAAGCTGATTAAGGAAATGCCAAAGAGAAAAAGTTTATGGCCAGCAAATATCACATAGGTTTGTAAACCTGCACTGTCATTTGTTATGTTGTTTCATATATGCGTGAAATGTGAATGTAACTGCAGCATATATGTTTATGTATTTATATACCTCACTTTTATTCCATATACTTAGCTCTTTAAAAAACAAAGGCTAGGAGTAAGGCTTGCCTGCAAGTGCATAATGTGAAAAGTTTTTGTAAAACCGGTATGTCTCAGTAACAGATTTTTATAAATCTTGTTCTCTGAATGTTTTAAAGAGATGGAGGAGCTGGCAGAACATGGTGTTTACTTACCTTATAATATGCAAGGACTGACAGATGAGCAAATCGAAGAACTGAAGTTAAAGGATGAGTGGGCAGAAAAGTGTGTACCAAGCGGTGGAAGTGTCTTTAAGAAGGATGAAATTGGGCGAAGAAATGGACACGGTAAGTCAAATGTAAATGAATGTAAATGTTTCTTTTCCTGTAGACACAGATAACCTATAACATAGTGAGGAACATAAAAACTGCAGTTTGGGATCTTTCTCATTTATCTCACTGTCCTGGAGGAATTAAAAACTGAGTAGGTACTAAGTATAGATTTGATTTCAGGCCAGCATGTTAGCCAGCTCATGTTCATTTGCTAATTTATAAAAATCATCCTGTAAGTAAATTATATTAAAGACAATTGTAGATTTGTTAAGTGGCAGCTATTTCAGGAGCCTGTTTCCACAATAGATTAGCTAAACTATCAGTTACTTACATAAGTCTTCTGTCTTGGGTTAGGACCTGGTGTAATGTTGATTTAAAAGTCTAAATAGTAGTATATATCTTTAGCACATATGCTGTCTAATTTTGTGACTGTAGTACTTGGAAGCAAACTTCAAGAGTAAACAGTTATTAGAAGCAACTTTGACTGTTTAATTTATTAATTGTAAGTGTAGAGGTTCGGAGATACATTGACAGGTTGTTTTTCTAATTTTGTGGTGTCTGTCCCTGTATTCCAGACACCACAACAGCCCTTGTCGGGTCAGCAGCCCTTTAGTTTACTCTGGATGTCTTATTTGGAGGGCAGTAGTTCTTCTGTCACAACACGCTGCCCAACCATATTTAAGTTTTTGCTGAACTTAAGAGTTTATTTTATAGCTAGACATTTTCCCTCCTAACTGTGTTCTCGGAAATAGCTGAGTACCTTGTACATAGGCATGCAGACAAAGCATGGTTGTTAGCAGTGTCAGGCCTTACAGTGAAAGTTTGCATCAGCTAATGTAAGGACAGTAGCATTTTTACTTGTAGTTGTACTCTGTCATTTAGTTGTTAGTGGAGGGACAATTTTGTAATATTAACAAAGTTATAATGTTGAACAGTGTATAAATGTGGACCAAACTAAATACCATCAAATGATGCGTGTAAGTGTTCAGCTGTGAATGGGTATGATTTAATTGGACTTTTTTGTATTTGAGGAGAGGCTTTTAGTAATTAAAACAGGTAATTATGATATGAAATGCACATTATATTTGAAAAACTGCTTTTTGCATCAGGTTGAAATTTTAATTAGAAAAAATTGAAAAAAATCAGAGAACTCCAAGCTGTTGTCCTCAGTTAAAGCACATTTGCCAGTACAGCCCACAGTATTTGTAAGTACAGCATGGAAAAGAGATTCTTGGTTTTGGTTGTGCAGAGTATGAAATTATAGCTGTGGCTTTTTACTTGGTACTTTTGTCCCAAATGAAGTTCCAAATACCAGCCAGATTTCTCTGTGGAAAAGTAAGTTTGGCTCTCCCATGAGAAATACTGTTTTAAATTAGTAAGAAATACAGCAATGAACTGTCAAAGTGTTAAGTAGACTACAGCTTAGCAGCATCTCTCTTGCTTTGAGATATGACGATGGTTCATTTGCTTAGAGTGGAGCAAACCTGGACAGGCCATTTACTTGGTTTCTTTATACTAAGTGTGGTCTATTAAATATGTGTCTCTTATTTTTAGCTCCAAATGAGAAAATGCAGCAAGTTATAAAGAAAACGATAGAGGAAGCCAAGGCATTAATCTCTAAGGTAAGTTTCCTGAAGTACCATGTGTTATATGGGATTTTCTTAATGGGTGCTATGTAGCTGGGCAGTTTAAGAAAAAACAGACTTTCTTCAGTGCAAGGGCTGATAATTTTTGAGTAATAATATGTAGTGATGTGAATAGTGTAATAAAACCTGACATTTCTGTTAATGATTTTCTTAATGGCTTTTGGCAAGCTGGTTCAACAAGTTAAGGAATCCTATATTAAACTCCAAGTGATTGCTGGCAGCCAAGACCACATTGGATGATTAAATTGCATTTAATTTTATCCACATGGTCTTAATTTGCTATTGATGCATTCTTTAGGCAAATGCTTGTCATGTTTTCTGGTGAAAAATTAACTTCGTTCTGTGATGTTCCTGGAATAAAATACCTTTTGCTTGTTAACATAGTCTTTTGACTTTTATATATAATTAATTGAAGAATGTGTTCTAATCTCTTAGATTAGGCCTTGGTTTTGCAAGCACTTGGAATCCTGCTCAGTCCCAAAGAGTTTGTGTATTTAAAGATAAGCATGAGGGTATGCCCCGATGGTCTCCATTATTCAGCTTCACTTTACCAGACCTGTAGGTGCTCTGTATTGTGTCTCAGCTTTTGGAAGACTTTGAAACACAACTGAATAATATTTATTATCAGATTTCTTTTTTTGTTAACATCTTCAGGTAATTTTCTCATCTCTGCCCTTACAGTTCTGGGAGTTGATATGTGTAGAACTTTAAAACAGTTTTAAAGCAGTTATGCGAATAGATAATGTTACTGATTTTTTAGTGTTGTCTGTGCACTTAAATTGGCCTTCTTGACTGTTTTGTTAGCAGTGTCAGGTCAGTCATTTAGAGTGAGCAGCGCAGTGTTTCCAAAGGCCTTGTGGAAACAAGCAGAGGAGTGCCTGGCAGCACTTCCAGTGAGCTGAGTTGCAGCAGACCTTTCCTGAATTAAGGCAGGATTTCAGCCAAATTGTTCTGAGTCTCAGCAAAAAAACAAAACACACAAAATGAGAGATGTTTTAGATTAAAGCTTCTGGACTATAGAGGTTTTATTCAGATGGATTTTTTTTTCTGTTGCATTGTATCTCATCGGGAGGAAATGAACGCGTTTTACTACTTGAGTCAAAAATATCTGCAGGTGTGGTCTCCAGTTTCCAAATCTACCTGAGTTTAAATTCCAACTATATGCCCTATTGTCATTTACAGCAAAAAGTTGCAAAATCCCCACGCCGCATGTTGACTTACTCCTGAAACTATTACTTCTACCATTCACTGGTGAATGAAGCTGAGGATCATTGGAGAAGTGGTTTGTTAGGTTCATCACTTTATAATAATGTAACTGAAGAACTTGCCAGTTAACTAATTTAAGAATGTCCACAAGGAGGCAATGTTCTCTTACAAGCTCATAAAACTTGTTACTTAAAATACTGAAACTGTTAAATCCATAAGTAAAAACTTTATTTCTTCTCTTCCAGCTGTATCTTGTTTTTCCCCTATCTGTTGCAGTAGGGTTTGGAATGATCTCAAGTACTTGATCTTGCAGATCTCTGCGTAAGCTGTGCAACATGCCAAGCTTTACTCTTCTGCTCACATGTGCTCTATTTTTATTCCTCAAGTTTTAGGCCCCCCTTGTAGCCCTCACTTGAATTCTAGTGTTTTGAATCATATTCATGAATGACAAGTACTTGGAACAAAGGACTCCCCATCCAGTTTCTGTGGTCAATATGCATACTTGTTTGAATGCCTGTGTCCCACAGGCATTACTAAATGCTTCCTGCACAATTTAGTGAAGATATCTTTTCTTTTTGTTTTTTTTCTTCCCCCATCCCCTTCAGTGTAAACAAGCTGTATAGAGGGGCCAAAAGTGAAGTGGTGTATTCAGAAGTCAATAGTCAAAGGAGGAAATTAGCACTCCTAATATCTTTGTGCAGCAGTTAGTTCTGATCAAATATCCCACTGTTGAACCTTTGAACTGACTACAAAGCAAAATCTTTCTGCATGTTTTTTTTAAATTACCAATGATCCTTGCCTGTATTTCAGAAACAAGTTCAGGCCAATGTGTGTGTTAATATGGAGATGGTGAAAGATGCATTGGACCAGCTCCGAGGGGCTGTGATGATTGTGTATCCAATGGGATTGCCTCCACATGATCCAATTAGGATGGAGCTGGAAGATAAAGAAGACTTGTCAGGAACTCATGTATGCAGTAATGTATTTGTATTATATGTAGTGACTGGCTTAAATATGCTATTAAAGCATATTAAACAGCCATGCTGTTCTCCATTTTAATCAGTGAAGGTTATTTGCACTTGCGTGACAGATTTTGTTTTATATTTTTGTCTGCTAACTTTATGTAAAAGCACAGCAATAGCTTAACTAAAAATAAGATCAATTAAGTTTATTTCAAATGTTACACACAAAGTTCAAGTAAGTCTCGGACTTATTTTAATTAGCTTGTCATTTCTTTCTAATGGCAATATTGAGGATTTATTGCCCAAAGTGCTTATGTTAAATCAAGATCTATTGGAATACGAAGGATAATGCTGTAGATTAGTATGAGGAGAAGGATGCAGCGGAAGTATAGGGTAAAATTAGAGTGGCCTGTCTCTTAGGAATTCCAAAAAGATTTTTCCAGAAAATTTTTATAGTTTTGAAAACAAAACAAAAAAATCCACAACACACCCCCCCCAAAAAAAAAAAAACCCAAAACCATAAAAACAAAAAAACACACACAAAAAAAACAAACACCCCAACACTTCACCTTGTTTGTTTATTTGTCACAGGCTGGACTTGAGGTTATAGAAGAATCAGCAGCACAATTATGGTGGGCAGGAAAGGAGTTGAAGGAAACAAAGTTGCTCTCTGATTATATAGGCAAAAATGAGAAAACAACCATCATTGTCAAGATACAGAAAGTAAGTATCGCTGGCAGATTTCCTTACAAGTTACTCATTTTTGACTGTCATTCTCTATAAAGAGAATTGTCCACAGGTATGTAAAATGGATCGTTAGTTTCAACTTGAGTATCTTAAAACTGTACATCTATTTTAAGGCTTCAATTTATTATGTTCCAGATTTTTCTTTAGTAGTTGCTTTGCCTGTCAGTTAAATACTGTAGTTGCTATTACTTGCTCCATAGCACAGTTGTAAAGTACAGCAAAGAGGTATTTAAGAATAGATGGAATACAGTGGAAATGTTTAAAAAACCCTCAGCTGGCTCTCAGTTATGTCAGTGCAGAACACTGAACAGATGCAGTCATTCCGTCTGCCCAGTTTTTCTAATTATACTTGTGATTTTTTTTCTTGCTATATTCTGGCCTTTAAAAAAGTTTAAATGTTTTGTGCATATATGGTGTGGATAGATCTTATCTCTGTTTCAGTCTGTTCTGTGTCCGAAAGACAGTGTCTGTAATTCAGTAATTTCCTGCCTGTGATGTCCTGAGTTTCTTGGTGGCAGGTCCTCAAACTGTCTCAGTTGCCTTGGAAATGTGACATGATCTTCCAAAGTGTTTAGTGAGAACTCACTGGGTGCTAGAAGGAAGAAAATGCTGCTGGGCCTGTAGCACCCAGTTGTGCTATTAAAGCTTCCAGCTGAACTTTTTAAAAAGAAATTAGACTTCCCAGTTGTCGGATGTGGTGACGTAGATGAGGCCTTCTGCAGTAATTATGAGCTGGTCTGAGTCATAGAATCATGCAATGGTTTGGGTTGGAAGGGACCTTAAGGCTCATCCAGTTCCAACCCCCCTGCCATGGGCAGGGACAGCTTCCACTAGATCGTGTTGCTCAAAGCCCCATTCAGCCTGGCCCTGAACATTTCCAGGGATGGGGCAGCCACAACTTCTGTGAGCAACCTGTTCCAGTGTCTTACCATCCTCATAGTGAAGAATTTCTTCCTAATATCTAATCTAAATCTACACTTTGACAGTTTAAAACCATTTCCCCTGGTCCTATCCCTGTGTGCCTTTATAAAAAGTCCCCCTCCAGATTTCTTGTAGGCATCCTTTAGGTACTGGAAGGCTGCTGTAAGGTCTCCACAGTGGCTTCCCTTCATCCTCTGGAATAACGAGCAAAAAAGGGGCAAAGTTCTGCTGCTGCTACTCTGTTTATATGCCTGATGCTTCAGCAAAAACTAGTCATTAGGTCTATACTGGTGTCTCATGCAGTGGTCATGTTCTTGCAATATCAAAATTAGTACCAAGCTACTGGATGGTTCATTGTTTTTTGGACAAAATTATTTTATACTAACTGTGCAGTTGTTTTCATCACTGGTGAGAATACCATACTCAAAGGAAGTGTGTTTGGTGCTTCAGTTCATTTTCAGAGCTTTGTCAGAAGGTGCTCACTGTGTTTGTGTGTATGTATCTCTGTATACATAAAATCACGTTAAGAGGGTGCTTTTGCAGATGTCAGATGTCTGGGAGAACTTGCTTACAGCCAAGAATTATTCTGGAGCTGAATTTCTCTTCCATGTTAGCCAGATCTCTGCCCAGAGAAGGCATTAATGTTTATGACAGATGTTACTATCTGCAGGTGTCTGTAATAGAATTCCTCAAAGATAAGTCAACTGATTCATGTGTTTATCATTTAGAAGACCAGAATTTCTTTCTCTTTCCCATCAGGGTCACTAAAAACAGTGTGACAACTCAAAGCCATTGAAGTGTAGGCTCCCAGGAAAGTTGTCTTACTGTTTAATTAGATGATTTTAGTACCTCTTCAGAGAATGCAAAGTAGCACGGGGGTTTCCTGTCTGACAAGGCATGCTGGCATCCTTGGGTTGGAGAGCTAAATTAAACCACCTCAGACCCCTTTTTCTTGTTCCAGAGAGGATTCACCATCTCAATTCAAACAGTTCTGTTTGCTGTTGCTGACAGTAGCTGTCATCAGCTATTTTCTGCTGTGCACGTCATTTCTTCCATGAAGACACATGCCTGGAAAAATAAATATCTTTTATTCGTAGTAACAAATAAAATGTCTTTTACTTGTCATGTTTTGTAACTGCCTTCCTTCCCTGCTTTAATAAGCCATATGCCATCTTGAATCTTATTAGCAGGGGAGCTAAAGTTGCATGGGCCCATCCTGAGCCATCTAGAATAAGCTTAAACCAAAGAGGTTTATTACTTCTTTTAGAGCAGAAGTTTAAGTAAAATAGACTCAGTCTTGTTTGCAGGCTCCATTGATGTCCACAAACTTGACAGCATGATTCAGATGCTGAGATGAAAAAATGATTCTAAATGATTCTCATGTGAACACAGCAGAAGTTTCTCAACATTTCTTTTCCTGTCCTGAGGGACCTTACTAGATTTGAGAGATCCTTTTGTCTGAAGAAATGTCTTGCTGTCTTTCCATAGCAGTTCCTCTTTTGTATTGCAACTGCCATCATAAATAAAATTTACGATTTCCCTTTCAGAAAGGACAAGGAGCTCCAGGGCGTGAACCTCTGATTAGTCATGAAGAGCAAAAACAGATGATGCTGCACTACTACAGAAAGCAGGAGGAGCTGAAGGTAATAGTGTCCTTTTAGTGCATGTGAGCTGTGCTGTTGTGGGCACAACCACAGGTTATGTTCGTTACTGCTGGTTCTGTTTACAGAAACTAGAAGAGGACGATGACGACTCATTTCTGAATGCAGAGTGGGCAGACAGCCATGCCTTGAAAAGGCAATTTCATGGTGTAAAAGACATCAAGTGGGGTCCGAGATGAAGCTCTGCAGAAACCTTTTTGCCTCTTCAAGCTGTTTGGTTGGTACACTTGTTTGCAGTTAGGAGTTATGTTGTGTGTGGTGGATTCTTCTGGCAAAAGCTGAAAGTTTCACTTTCAGAGCAGGTGCCTGTTTCTCCCCTAGGTTTTCAATAGACATTTACATTTCTGTATCTGTAGCAGGCCTTGTCTCTGCAAAAAATGGAATCAATCCTGTTGATGTTTGCTATTTTATTAGAGACTTCTAATTTGAATACTGAAATGTTAACCTATTTCATAGATAATATATCTAATAAATAAGCAATAGAATGTTTGGCATCATTTTGAGTGGTCTTTATTCTTTCTTCCTGATCTTGTATTTCTTTTAGATGGCGTGGTCTGTAGAAGATAACTTATTTTATAAGAAATCAGTTTACCAGGCTAGTCCAGGGAAAGTCAGTGACTTTGATGCGCTTGTTTGCATTTCAATAGCTAATTCCAAACTGTCTCTTTTAAATGAGTTGGCCTCTTAGCAATTGTTTAAAGAAAGTATTTTTATGTAAACACAAATAACACAAAAATCCTTGGAGAATGCTTCATTTTCATTCTTTCGGTTCAGTTTCCATTGACATTGGAAGCCAGCCGGTTGATTTGATTCAGTGTACCAAGCTGTTAGCCCTGGTGCTTCAGACAGAAGATTGACAGAAATTTGTTTATAAAAGTGTCATTTGCAAGTAGATTAGATACAGTTGGATACAATAAAAGCCAAATTTAATAGTGCTTGATTTCTACTATTAAAGTACTTCTAAGATTATGACTGGATTAGAAGTGTTCAGTTTCTAACAAATCAGCATTTTAAAACTGAGAAATGAAATTTATCAGAGAGTGTTTCCACTATATGCTTGATGTTTAGTATCAAGGCCAAGCTGGATGGGGCTTTGAGCAACCTGTCTAGTGGAAGGTGTCCCTGCCCATGGCAGGGGGGTTGGAACTGGATGAGCTTTAAGGTCCATTCCAACACAGACCATTCTATGACGATTCTATGGTCCTCTTACCGCTTCTAAACTGCATCATCAGTCAGTTCTGGGTTCAAGACTAATGCTAGTAAACTTGAAGCAAATGTGCCTGGTTTTGAAGGGAGGGTTCTGATGTGGGATACCATATGACTAGTAGATAATGAAATCTGTAGAATTATCTATGTAGATAATTACTGTATAGGAACAAGTTGCTCAAGTTTTACATGTTTAGACTTCTGTGTCTTCAAACGAGATGCTTTTCTGTGGAGGCAGATGCTCACCCTCATCAGGTCACTAGCAGTGGAAAGCCAGGGCAGCCTGAAAATTCTGAGTGTTTTAAAATGAGGTGAACTGATGTGGGCACTCGGAGCCAACAACTAAAATTATGTGTTCCTTCACACCCCAGCGCAGTTGTCCCGAGGGCAGAGGGGAGCTGAGAACATCCACCTTTTCTCTTCTGCAGCATGAAAAGGCAAACCAGCTAAGGACACTGGTTTTGCAGTTTGCTATAAACTTGAGGATACCAAGTTACCCCTGCATGCATTTGCTTCTTTTCTACCTGAACCAAACCTAGATCATGTTCACAAACTACATCAGTCTTGAACAGGCAGTTGCTCACCAGTAAGTTAAGTCAAAGTGCAACAAGATGGAAGTAAATTCTGTGGTTGTTGACTGTTCCATAAAAATACCTGGTTGTGTGACTCTCCAGATTTACAAACCTCAGTACTTGCAGTTTAAATCTTTCTGCTTGTTTGAGTCACTGTAAAATAGCAAAGTTGGTTGGTTTTTGGTGATGAAAAAAATATGATTTGAAGTATTAGTGTGGTTGAAGAAACACTGATTAAGTTGAACTGAAGCGTTTGCTGAACTCACAGCTGGAAGACTGAACAGAGAAAAGAGAATAGAAATAAAGAGAACTATTAATGTTGTTTTTAATTCAGCCACTGATCCCTTTAGGGAAGTTTGGTGTCTGACAGTCTTTCCTGAATATCAGCTTTACAGTAACATAGTTTTTTTACAAAAAGAAACCCCCAAATCAATATGTGGATTTTTCTAAATTGCAAGACTTGACATATTTTATATTTAAAAACTACTTGGAATTATTTCTATGTGGCAAGCAAACAGGGTGTGTTTTACCAGAACACTTTGTTCTAGCACTTCCTCAGATGAAAGTCAGTGTCCTGTACAGCTCTTTGGAGATTCTGAACCACTCCGATAGCTCCTCCCTGAAGTCTCTTCTTACCTGTTTAACAAGATGCTGAGGGCCCCCAGCCCTGCCTGTGGGTTTTGTCCTGCTGACCTGGGAGGGAGATTTGCAGAAGACAGACTGTCCATAAGCTACCTGAGGTGGAAATCTGCTCCAGGATCAGGGATTGCAATGTGACCTTTGCGGGCAGTGCTCAGTTGTTGGCATTTTTGCACCTTGGAATGGTTTCTTAGCAGGAGTGCTTATGTGCCTGCTCCTTGTCATTTGAAATTAGCTTTTTTTAGTTACTTTTCGTAACTGCATTGAGCTCAGTGGCCTTGGCAGGAAGCTTTCCAGATGTTTTGTATCAGTTATAATGACTGCTTGAAAATATCCAACTGAATCCTTCTCACAAATAGAGCTTTCATCTTAGCTTAGGATTATTCTGAGGAGTTTGTTCTGTGGGCTCCCAGTCCTGTAAATAACTGATGTCATCATTGGCTTTTGGCCATTTGATTTAATGGCCTCGACACCAGGAAAATATTCAACAGCAGAGGAGGCTAAATGAAAATAACATAAGCAGTGAAGTACCTGTACTCCCCAGATCTCCTTCGTTAAACCCCGCTGCACATCCACGGCTACAAGTCACTGGTTTTCCATGACAAAACGCTAAAGCATTGCTAGCACCTTCCTCCCAGCAGAGTTCTCTCTGCAACAGGCAAGCGTGTCAAAGGAGCACAAGAGGTTTTATTGTCTTTCCAAGGCTTGTGAGAGTTACTGTTTCAGTGAAAGAGAGACTTTTAAATTACCACTATACAGGGGATTCTGAGGAGGGTATTTGAACATGGCCTTTGATTATGGTGCTTATAATATTGTCATTTCCTCTCTAAAAGCAAGGGAAAATCAGGCCTAGGAAATAATTCAGGCAGAAGGAGCTCCATTTTATTTTGCATACCTTTGACTGCCGTAATTGGCCCTGTTTTCTTCTTTAGCTGAGAAAACTGTCCATAGGATCAATGCTCTTCTGAGTTCTGACAGCATCTGTGGATGCTGGATTCATTTACTATGGTTGAAATTGAATGAACTTACTGGAAAAAGATGAAAGAGTTCAGGAACAAAGCAAAGCCTGTAGATATTTAAACATCTAAAGAATCTGAGAGTTATGAGATAGGAACACCACATACTGGTTTGCGAATTCTTGAAAGTGGTTTATCTTTCTTCTAAACTGTTTATTTCTGGAAGTTTGATAGTAGATGGGCCCTTCCAGAGGGAAAATCCATTTTCTATCAGAGGATACACACAGCAGAACATTGCTGTTTGTTCTGTGGCTGTATCACCATTATGATTAATGGAGGTTTGTATTACGTGTTGTGAGAGTTGCTAATGCCATTACAGTCGTTAATGTGCTGTTGCGGTTTCCTTGGACAGGAGTGTGAGAGGAAGCAAAGCACAGGCACTTGGCTGTGTGTAGTGGCTCAAGCACTGCTTCTCCCCAGGAGGTTGGCTATGCTTCCCTGGGGGCGTGGGGTGGGTGCTGCTCTGCCCTGGGATGCTGCTGCCACTCCAGGACTGTCCTGTGCCCATCAGTGGGTTCTTCTGACTTCACAGATTTATTGTCCTGTGTTATTTCACTGCATGAGAGTCATGAGCAAAAGCCACTGGGAACTGCAATTTGGCTGTTGTACTGGAAAGTCTTAGAGCACGGTGAGTCTAACATACACAGTGTGTTTTAAGATACTCCAGTGACGTTTCCCTCTCTGTTCGCAGCTCCTCTGCCCACAAACCATTGTGCCCTGTTGTGGGTTTTATGAATGCCATGAGGGTATGGCTGTCTGCATGCTGCAGGGTGGGGTGTCTGTGGTGGGCTGCTGTTGAGCAGAGGGGACCCTCACAGAGCAGTGAGTACCTTGTCTCCCATGCATTGTTCGAGGTGGGGGCCCAGTGAGCACAGGGAGCTGGAACTGCTGGGGTGTAGCTCTTGTTCCTGCTGAGCAGTGACAACCATGGGAGTCTGCAAAGGTCTGGTATGTGTCTGGGGAGTTGTACACAGCTGGGCCAGCACTCACCCCACAGCTGGATGCCTGTGATCCTCTATAGCGATTACTCTGCAACAGGGATTGCTAATGGACAGTCACTAGTGCACAGCCCCCCCGCACTGGATGTGTATTTCTCGGGTGCCCTGTGCATTTGAAGGCACATTTCCAGCATCTGATGTCTGCCAAGGATATCACCAGAGTTGTTTGTAACATGAGGCTGGGATTTACATCTTCCTCTACAAGAAGCTACAATCCCTACCAGAAAGCAGAGGACACCCGCCACCACCAACAGCAAGGTCTCCCTGCCAGCAGATGCTGTTGGAGGAAGACGCAACAAACTGCATCCACCTGCCTGGCAGTCATCGGTGTGCACACCAGGAGTCACCAGGAGCACGAGCTCGCACCTTTCCTCTGGCTGTTCCTGTCCTCACCTGCCACCTCCATGTGCTGGCTGATGGGGTAGCAGTGGCCCGGGGCACCCATGGGCTGCTCCCTTCATGTGCCTCACCCAGACCCACCTGCCCGCCTGTGTCAATGCTGTGCGTGTCCCCATCCCGTGCTCTGGGGTGTACGGGCTGGACAGTATCTGGTGAGTACAGGCTGTACAGTAGCTACAGTGGGGTTCTATTGGGAATGAGGAAGTTTATAGCAAACATAGGAACTCTGGCACTTCCTCAAGGAAAAATAAATTGTAATTGTTGTTTACCCCAAGGGTTGTGTTTGTGAGAACAGTTCTCAGCCAAGGCTGAGTGATACAGCCAAGTACTTCTAATGCTGCACTTAAGAATTGGTGTGTGGGGATTTTTTTGTCCTGATAATCAGCACTCAGCCACCACCCATGGTACAATGTGAAG